ATAATTAAATGTTAAATATTTTTAATATTCAAAGATTATGTTTTCAAATAAAATATTAAAAAATGTTAATGAATGTTAAGATAATGAAATTATTTGAGTTTATCATTTTGATATATGCATTTTGATAATTTTGCAGCAATTTTATTTTGTTATTTAATTCTTTTTAATTTAATTTTCTTTTAGCTAATTATTGAATTATTAAATCAATCATTTGATAGAATAACAAGAGTTAAAATTATCTCATGCAATATTTTTTAATTTTATCAATTAATTATATTCATATCATTGATAATATTAGGTAAAATATCAATGATGACATAAATCTGACTCATATATTAATAAATATATTATGAAATCAGTAAAATCTTGAAATATTTTATAATGATATATAATATTTTAATTATATATAATATTAGCATTTAATAATGATCATATTATTATTTATCATTTTTTTTAATAAAAAAAACGATAATTTTGTGTTAATAGTATTTATTTACAATATTGATTTATTTACATACGAATTGTTATACAATTGATGCATAATTATGATAAGTACATTTGGTTTGCAAATTGAATTTTGTAAAATATTCCATGAATGATGTACAGAATGAATTATATTATATGCTAATTTTTAAAATAATACTGTGCATGTTAATCATTCTTTTATGAAAGATTTCATTTCAAATAAATTTTTTGGTACCATTTATATTGGTAGATTTCATTTTATCATTTGAAACAATATTTTATGTATTATATATATTATATTATTAATTACTATATTTTGTATCATATAATTGAAAAAAATAAGAAGTTCGTGAAGGAAATATTAACTGAATCTTTATGTCTAAGACTTAATAGTGATTATTCACTATATACATTAAAAAATCAAATTTGAAAGTATCAATTCTTTTTCTTTTTATCACAGAATTATTTTCTCATTTATATGTATTTAAAAATATATTTAATCATATAATGACTAAAATATATGTCACCTACAATGAAACAGAGTTTTCCTATACTTAACATTTCCTTTATATGCATACAAATGTTTATTCTTCGCGTAGCATGAAATTATGAATAAATCTGGAAAATTGTTTAATCTGAAAACAGAAATAAATTATTAACACAATGTACATTGATACGAGTTTCAGGATGGATTTTGACTTGTAAAAAGAGAAAGCAATTCTTTTTATAAACACAAAAAGTAAAGCAAGAATTTGAAAACAGATTGTTTGGAAATTTACTTGCAAGTAGCATTTTCAATATCGTGATTTTCATCCCAATGGTATTGTGCTTCCAAATCTTCCAGTATTCTTCTAAAAACAAAAGTCGAATCTGGTTATTTTTTATATTAACGCTACAAGGAAGAGAAGTATTAGGAAATAACTCTTTTTATAATGAATTTACAAACATATAAATGAGAAATTTAATTTTCGTTCTGTATTAAAAAATTTATTCTTATTATTGTGCTTTAATAGCTAATTGTTAAAACATTAAAACTTTTTGCATACCTCATATATTTAACATTTCCTAATAAAAACTAATTCAAAATTATACATATTGTTATAAATTTAAAAATATATATTTATAATATAATATGAATTAATTCTATAGGTAGTATATTAAATGGTTAATTATTTAAAACAAATAAAATGCAAATATTTTACTATTTTACTGAGGATTAAAACAATAAAATGATGATAATCAATTTATGATAAACGAAATTATGTTTATTTATTCTCCATCAGGAAGATGTCTATGCTATTTTTTATTATTATATCATCTTATTTTTGTGATTCAGTTTGTTATCTATATGTAATATGAAAATTCATAAATTTCATATATTGCTCGACATTTTTTACATATTATCCATCCACTGGATAATATCTCCTGAAAAATCAAAATACCAATATTATATCATTAAGATGCGTTTTGAAATTTAATTTCTGACAGATTCGAAAAATAAAATTATTTAGAAATTCAATATTTTCTACAATTAAAAAACATTATAATTTTAAATTGGTAACTATAATTTCTTTTCACAACATATGAAAAATAAAATATATCTAATAATATAATATAAATAAAATATATATTTTTGCTTACCTGTAACTTCTAACTCCCAATCGTCGTTTTCTCATATAGAACATTATTATTGCTCCTATAACTCCAACCATTGACATGGATATGATAGTAGCTACAACTAAATTAACAATAAATTAATAAACGGTAAATAATTATAAATACAATAATAATTTAACGATTCTCATGAACTGTGTTCATATATTTGAATATCATATAATATCATACAATAAGTGAAAATATTATTTATAAATGTTATAAAATTTAAAAAAATACATAATAAATGGATTATTAGATGGATGAATTATGATATAAATAGATTTTTTTATAGGTGAAAATATATAAAAAATTTATAAATTAAATTTTAAAATGAAATATTCAACTTTTTATAGTTTTGATAGAAATTCCTGAAATTATTATGAACAAAATTCGTAAAATATGAATAATTATTACTTACATATCATTCGATAAGCAATTACTGTAATATCCTGTTGATGTTTCTTAAGGCACTTGGTTAAATGCGATAAAGTACCATTTACTATAGGACATTGAAGATCAAGTATTTTACAGAATAATGGATATAAATCTAGATTATTAAAAGGTTCAAGTTTGCAGTTAGACATAAATGCAGGACCTTTTGCAAAAAAAAAGGATGCATTTCTATAGCTTCATTATCATAACCATGAAGACCAAATTCTGAATCATTGTTTACTAAAAATAAATATTTCATAAATGCAGATCAAATTTTAATACATAGTTTTATATTTCTAATATATATTTGAATTATTAGATTCTGAGAAAATATATTATAAATTATTATTGGTATTGTAAATTACCTGTAATATTAAATTTCTTTTTATAAAACTCAATATTGTCAAGAAGATTTTGAAATGCATATCCCACTTTAGCAATAACAAAAATAGGACCTATACGTGTATTATTTCCATAATGATATTTTTTAGGAATTTCCTCTCTTCTATAAACTCTAAATGTTTTCAATTTTGATGCCATTTGTTTTAATGTTTGATAAATTGTTTCTTCTTTACCTAAAATATTTATTTATTTTACTCAATTTTCACATAGAATAATTTAAAATACATCTAATTATATATATATATATATATTTTATATAATGAATTATCATACCAGGATTAGGAAAAATGTGTAATCCTGGTGAAGTACCCACAAATTTATAATCAGAACTGTTAATATATTTTGTTAGATCTATTATTCTATCTAACTTAACAGTTGCCATTCCATGATCACTCAAATGAACGACATTAAGATCATTTAAGCCATGATATTCTATCTTGTTATGAAGATATTTAGTTATATTATCTAATTTTCTAAGAATATTATCAAATTCAAGTCCTTTTATTCCAATGCCATGACCGTGATAATCTGGTTCTTCAATGTATAATATTCCAAAATTAATTGGATGTATAGGATGAATAAACCATGATATTAAAGTATCTATTCTTTCTTCCCAAGGTATATTTTCATTAAAATTCTGAAAATAAAATTAGAAATTTATTATTTATTTAAAAAAAGTATTAGTTATATTTTTTAAATTTATTATAATCAAAAATATAAAAACCTGTGTAAATGTAGGAGTTATCCCTTGATATTCATAAATGCCACCAGGCCACATCATTGAGCCACTTCGTCTTTGTGCACCTCCTTTTTCATTAGCAGTCTATTATATTAAAAATTATGCAAAGTATATATATGACTTACATGAAACATGAATATATATATATATAAATTTATACATAAATTTTTACCAAATAGGAAGAATTTTATTATCATAATGATACAAATTATATGAATATTTTGTTATATTTCCAGAAATAACATCATAAAATTCATTATCTATAACTCCATGTGTTTCTGCATATAATCCTGTAGCCATTGTATGATGATTGGGAAATGTTTTTGTGACAAAAATATTCATCATATAATCTGCATATGTGCCTTCATGTCTTAATTTATTCATAAATGGTGTTAAGTTTCTGTTAAAATAATCATATCTATAAAATAGGAAAAAGAAAAAATTTGATTAAAATCAATTATATAAAAATTATAAAGCAATAAAATGATATAAAACATACCTGAATGCATCAAATGATACTACTAATAACTTTGGATGCTGTGATATTAATAATCCATATTTTACATTAAGTAATATGACAAGTGTTAGAGCAAATATAATTACAGAATTCATGATGAATGTATATAATATATATTAATTTTTATCAAGAAAAATTATTTCATTTGATGAATTATTTATTGCTGTATTTTCTTCATGCTTTTAAAATCACTTCAATAGTGAGTCTTGTTCGATCTAAATTTAAAATTAAAAATAAATATAATTATTATTGACAGCTTCTATATATATTTTTTAATTAAATAAATTTTGATTTTTAATCAATCTACATATATATATATATATATATATAAGTGTATTTGGAATTCTTAAAAATTTTATTAAATGATACTAACTGTAAATTACCAGATAGAAATTCTTCATGGTAAAATTGCAAATGTTAGCTAATTCTTCATCAGCACTGTCTGTTAAATACTAAACGCATTCTCTCATTCATGAACTATAAAACTATAAAGTAATGCAACCTTTCTGTTACATGATAATCATATTACTATCTTTTGTAATGATTAATTTGTTAAATGAATGCTTACTTTAATCTAGAATGATTGATAAAATGAACTCGATTGAACTTTAAATAGATTTTTACTATCTACATGTAAATAAATATACAATTAATGTATTTAAAAAAATGTTTGATTTTTACACTTATACGTAAGTAAAAAATAATTTATTTAAACTTTTCTTAAGGATTTTTCTTTGTTCCAAATGTTGGCGAACTTGTTTTTTAACGCAAGCGTATCAAACAAAACTACAGCGAACAAGAGTGCATTCAAGTATGCGATTGACAGATGCTCAAATCTACGGTACATTATATTTGGAAGAGATGAATCGTGTTTGATATTTCTGCATTTTTCTATGAAGGATAATCTTTTGTTCCTATTATCCTTCACGTATTACGTGAAAATTAAATATCGATATTTGGACACTTATATCGGTTAGATGACGGCGATACGCCGTGTGTTAACAGGTCATGGGGGCCTGTTTCGGCCGCTGTATTTCCAAAGTTACAGACTCCTTATCATACAGGTTAGAAATATAATTTTTATTTTAAAATAAAAATTATTCATTGAAATATTTTGGTCTGTTCATTTTTATCCATGTATTATTTTTTTTGTCTATATAAATTTTTTATGAATATTATATCTATGTCTTTTTATAATTTTATATGTATTTCTCATTTTTAATATATTTAATATTCAATATTATTCAATATCTAAATTTAAGGTTTTATCAAAGACATACCAGTATGTCCTACCAAGGAGACGAACAAGTTGAGGTAGATATAATGTTGTGCTGTATATTATAATTTTAATAATTTATATTAATATATAGAATAATTTTCTTATAGTTTATAGATGATAAAGGAGGTACAGATCAATCTAGAGGATCAAAAACGTAAGGAATTATAGTGAGCTTTAGGCCAATGTTTTAATTATATTATATTAATTATGTGCTTCATTGTTATGCTTTTTGGATAGCCTGTTATCGTTTCTCTCCTTAAATCGATTCAAGGTAAACAAATTAATTTATCAAAATTTTTATATATTTTATTGAATAATAAATCTATTAATATAATTAATGATTGTAATTAAAATATTGAATGATTACATTTAGTCATTGTATTTTTGTTATGAAGATAAAGTTTTCAATGTTTATAATATATTTGTAGAAAAAAAATGGAATCCCTGTAACATTGGAATTATTAGAAGATGGAGCATGGTCAAAGGGTAAAACTAACAAATATGCCAGATTAAACTCTAGGAATGATGCTTCTACAAGGTGCAATAATTATATGAACTAATCCTATATGAATTACTTCTATATGAATCACTGCAAACAATTAATTGTAATAAAATTATTTATTAGTTCTGGATTAGATACACCATTACAAATTCTTGATGCAAGAACATTAATGAAACAACAAGCATGTGTTTCTTCTACTCCTGGTTCATCATTAGATTTGGAATGGGAACATGAAGGTGAAAAAATTTTTTAATTATGGATAACAAAATTATATATAAATTCAAAAAAAAATTGTTATATATTTAGGAATGCCTCTGCCAATTATGGATGATGAAAAAGTTGAAAGTACAGATGGTTCTATGACACAAACATCAGTCAATAATAGCCAACCCTCTAGCTTGACAGCATCTCCTTGGTCTAGAGTATCAACACCAAATAGTTTAGAATGGGATCCAGTAGAAGCAGATATGGTATGTGTTGATTTAGAGACTGAACAGCTTTTGACTGAAATAGAAAGATTAACGGATAGAGCATTAAAGGAAACGGGAGAATGGACTAATGCTAGTTGATAAATAATGCATTTATAATTAATTGGGATTGTTTGTATTTTTGTATTACAAAAAAGAGTACACAATGGAATTAATATATATAAAATACTTTTAGAAAACAAAAAAAAAGATTCTACTGTTTCAATATTTGTATTGTTGAAACAATATGAAGATATATTTATATTGTTTCAAGATATATATATATATATATATAATATATATATATATTATATATATATACATGTATAATATAATATATAATTTAATATAGAATTTTAAGAAAAAAGTATATATTGTTTTGTACTATATTATTTATAATTTATTATTTAAAAAAAACGCCAATGATTCAATTGAAAAGAATTTTCTATATTATGCACATGTATAAATTTTACGCGCGTAAAAAATATTTTGTTCGTTTCTATGGTTTTTTTGAAGATAATGCAGATATTAATATATTATATTTTTTTCTTTGTATTGATTCTATTTTATTCTGATGAATTTGTATTTTTATTTTGATTTTATTTAACTTTTACGAGACAATAACTTTATTCTTATTAATCTTTATAATTTTTTATCACATTCGGATCCGATGTACTTCGATAAGACTGTCTCTAATAGCTGACGTTTTTATAGTTTTAATAAAAAAATAATAGAAATTAAGTTATATAATAATGATATAAATATTTAATGTTTTTATTTAAAAAGTACGACTTACAATCTATTCTCTCTATATGAAATCATCTTTATATATCATATAACCAATCGATTTATTATAGACTCATATAAGTAAAATAATTATATTGTTCAAATTTCAAAAAACTTTAAATAATAAAAACTTTATATAATATGGATAATATAATAATAATATATTTTAAAATATTAAAAATCATTAAAATTAATAATGAACATAAATATAAATCATTCATATAACATAGAGAAAGAAGAAAATTATATCTTTTAGTAATAAACATTTTAATATACTTTTATTTACTTGAAACACTTTATTTAAATATAGATCTGACTTTTTCTTATAGATATTGTAAATATTTTTAACTTTTTTTAAATATTTTCAATATAAAATCTATACCTTTGCATAAGTATAGTTTATCCTATTTCATCACTATTCATTTTAAGATCATTATTTTAACATTTTTTACTTAAACAGAAATAAACCAATGTTATTTTATACTTTAGCTTTACTTTAAGTAGCTTATCCTATTTTATCATTAAAAAAAATTTGTAATCCAAAACAAAATAATTAATTAAAATAATAATAAACAATCAGTGAGTTAATTTCTATGTTATCAGCTAATAGGGACAGTAATTATGTAATATATTATGTATATATTATCGAAGTCAAATGTATTAGTATAATTTTTATGTTATTTATTTTTAAACCAAAGATTTTTTATTTTTTTTAATTTTTTGATGTAAAATTAATTTACTGTGAATAATATTGATCTCATTTTTTTCATACATATAGTAAGATATACTACTTTAACCTTTTGAAGCATACGAGTAATGCGAAAATTACTTCAACTCGTTTTTTTAATTTTTTATAAAAGATTTTCTATTTAAATATAAAAGAAACTTTATATGAATAGCTAATTGTGCTTCAAATGGTTAAACAGTACATATCATTCATGTAATAATATAAATTCTTACATTTGTAAAATTTATTGTTCACCACTTATCTTAGATAGAGGGAAAAAAATTAAATACAGAAATTAATATTAAAAGTGTATCAGGTGCTATCAATGCAATATTATATTTTTTGCAAATGAAATTATGAAAAGCTTTTTCTGGAAAAAATTTCTTTAAGGCTTAGTATATCTCATATAATTCATATTTTATATGAAAAAGACTATTATATAGTTTAAATAAATCTAGTCACGATTGAATTGTAAATTTTTGTAAAATTTAAAATGAGAAAGGAGAAAAACAAGAAAAGTCGAAATAGTACTGATATAACATTAATGTTGATGCATATTTGGTGTACAAACATGTTTTTACTGAAATTATTACGAAATGATTAGGTTACAATTTTAGATAGATTGTCGATTATTGATGAATAAATTTCAAATCGAAGTAAGTTGCCTTACAATAGGTACAGAATATCGATATAAACGATTTTAAACTTCGATTGTATCGTGTTTGCGGTTTGACTGCGTTACAATTGTATAATTAAATTTAAGATTAATAGTTTGCATTACGAGCGAATCAAAATGTAAACAGCAATAGTAAAAATAGTAATAATGTTAATGACAAAAATATGTTAATGATTCAGTGCCATGGCTATTTATACATTCTATAAATTTTGTCTCTCATCATATCTTGAATTCCAAAAATTGAAATTAAATTTTTTGAACATGCATATATAAAAGTTTATAAAGATTTATATTAAATTGCATGATAAACGCACACAAAAATATTAGTTGAGCAAACTGTATGTGGCTTAGTATTAATATCTACATTAATCCTAAGCACAAAATGTATCTAATATATTAATATATAAATTGAACATATTGTTCAATGTGAAAAAAAAAAAAAAATAAGAAGGTGCTTCAAATGATAAAAGAAAAATGTTACAAACTCTTGCAATCTGTATTTGTATTAACAAAAGTAAGTCATATGAAAATTAAATAAAGTTGGTACTCTGATGATTCTAATATAAATAATATTGGCAAAAAATATCAAATTTAAACTCAATTTGATTTATTCAATTGACTATATATATTTTGAAAATTAATATCCTATATATAAAGTATGTTTTGAAACATTTAAATTATTGTCAAATTATTTGTCAAATTTTTTTTATATGGCAAATATGTATGGCAGAAATTTTTTTTTCAAAAATTTTAAGTATTTCAAATAGGGACCAAAAATATTTTCAGTATTAAATTTTTTCATAGCTAATATCTTGTGCTGAAATGATTATTTTATGTAATATAGTATATCAAATTTTTCTTCGATCGGTTATTTTATATTTAGTTTTAATATTAATCTTTATTTTTCAACTTTAAATATTTAATGAAATTATAAATGTTTATTATGTTTTACATATAGAAAAATAACTTATAATTATATCAGTTTTAAAGTTATAAACAAAATTTATCATTGTTGGCTTTAATTATATATATAGATTTATCTGTGCCTAGCATTAGATATTGAAAAAAAAATTGTTTTTCATGCACAGCTGTTTATCCTATATTGTGAGTTTGTGATTTATAAAAATCAACACTGTGCATTTGCTTATGTATAAAATATAGTTATTAATATTAATATAATATTAATTATATAAAATACATAATAAAATACATAATTATATAGTATTTTGTATTAGCATTTTTGTTATTTAGATGCAATTTTTGATACAATTATAATATAAAATGCAATAAAATGAAATGAATTTTATTTATTATTAATAATGAATTCAAAAATGGATTTTTATTTTATTTATAATTTAGTATAAAATCAGTCAATAAATTATAAAATTGAATATAAAAAATGTATTAAAAAAATTATATATTATGATAGATGTTAAAATGAACATGTTTGTATGCTTTAATAAATAATTACTTTATTATATTTTTATGTACATGCTAGAAGAAATGACAAAAAATGTATCCCTTGTATTTTTAATTCCTCTTTAATTAGTTAGAATAACACTTAGAATAATGAAACCATGTTTAGTTTCATTATAGTGCAATGATTCAATAATTATAATATTTTATTTCATAATCTATAATGCAAAAGATTCTAAATCTAAATAAAATTTAAATATAAATTGAAGCTTGAAACGGATCATAATGTGCAATATTCAAGATACTATCATTTAAATATATGTGTGTATATTATTCATGTATTCATAATTAATGTTTAATTATATATTAGCTACATGCAAGTACTCATTTTAGTATTCAGATTTTTGTCTGCTTTAATACGTAATCTATTGCTATTATGGATTAAACTTCATATTAAATGATAAATTTTCGAATGAAATTTGACAACGATTTTTTGTTTTTTTGACTCATACTTGTTTCTCTTTTTTGTTTCAATTAAAGTCAAAATGTTAAAGAAAGCATTACTGAATAATATACATATATATGATGCTTGTGGAATGGATTATGTTCTTAATTTGTTTTATCTACTATTTAATATTTTAATTACAAATATTGATAGAATTGATTTTATTAAAGTAATTAAATATTTTAAAAATTAATATTATTAGTTTTAGTTTTTATGCAGTTTCATGAAATATAAACACAATATCTCTCTTGTTTAATTTATATTAAATTTATATTAATTATATACAATTCTAACACACAAGATATATCTACATCTATATAACAGTAAAGAAAAAAAAATGTTTATAATTAAAAACAAAGCAACATTAAAATTAAAATTTATTATCATGAAAAATTTGTTAAATTTATTGTGAGATGAATTTGATTAAACAAATTTTTTTTAAACGTTTTAAAATAATTTCAAATATGATTTTGATGAAAATTATGTTTGTTTAATACTGGAATAATTGATGTAAATAAAAAATTGTAACATATCAACTAGATATAAGAATTAAATGCAATTTATAATTTCTTTATTTAGAAATTGAAATTTCTAAATAATTTCTTTAAAATTATATTTTGAAAATATATATTAAATATCAAAAAGTTAAAAAAAAACATCTAAAAACATAAGTATATAATTATATATTAAAGAACAAAATAAATTAGAGTTTTCATTATTTTTATCTTTATCAAAAACAATTATTTTGATTTCATGAACAATTATTTTGTCAAAAATAATATATATATATATATATATATTAATATATATACATATTAAAATGATTATATATATTAATGCAATTTCTATTATATATTATTTTCATGAAATTTTGATTATTTTCAATATGTATAAATTTGACATTCTTTTTTTAAGTTTAAAAATGTTTCATAAAACATGTATAAAATTTACTTCGTTTTGTTAACATACTTACAATCAATTTTCTGTTACATTTAATATAATTTAAACAAGAAATAGCCGTCGTAAAACAAGTAGAATTATAGCTGATACTAAAGAAGCAATTAGAATACTCCAAAATAAATCGTTCGATGATGACATTGTTTCTACTTGTTGATTTATTATGATAGTTGATTGCTGTTGATCTTCAGTCTCATTAATTGGTTCAACACCA